AGAGCATCATGATTTACATTCTTGTATGTTGCTTTAATGTCTGCTTTAACAGAAGACAGCCAGATTCTCATTTCTGCTTCTGTATTAAATCTATTATGATATGTTGTTTTGCCTGAAATATATAAAAACAAATCTGGCCTTATAGAGATATGTAGTTGGAAAGGGAGCAATATTTTAATTCAGAGAATTGTAGATATTCATTTTTGATATGACATGAAAACTGGGCAAGTGGTAGTTTCTTAAAATTTAGTTGTATGTGGAATCTGGAGCTATATCAATGAGCTTTTCGTATTCTGCTACATTGAAATTCATTGATATATCTCGCATTTGAAAAGATCTTTTACTCATGCATGATTTTGTAATATCATGCATTTGGTCATTTGAAAAATAGTGAATCATTAAGTTATGTAGATCTTCCAATATTGACAAATTTCATTATGTAACACTAAAAAGTCATGTTTGCTAATATCATCACCACGTGCCAGGCACTGTTCTAAGTTTTGCATGTGTGTTAATTTAGTCCTTACAACACTATGAATTAAGTACTGTTACTACCCTCATTTTACACTGAGAGGTGAAATGACTTGTACAAGGTCACAGATCTAGTGCGTTGTCCTTTTTATTAATGTACTGCTATTTAAGCTGTCTAGTTCTACTCTTCTACTGATGGACCCTTTGACAGTTTCCTTTTTCTTTCTTTCTTTTTTCTTTACTATCTTAAAACTTTTCTGAGATTGACATCCTTATGCTATATATATTATATATCCTGGCAAAATTCTTTTATTTTATTTTATTTATTTATTTATTTTTTAAAGATGACCGGTAAGGGGATCTCAACCCTTGACTTGGTGTTGTCAGCACCACGCTCAGCCAGTGAGCAAACCGGCCATCCCTATATAGGATCCGAACCCGTGGCCTTGGTGTTATCAGCACCGCACTCTACCAAGTGAGCCACGGGCCGGCCCTGAATTTGTTTTTAAATTTTGTTTTGATAATGTTTGGAGACTTTTACTACATCTATCGGGGTAATTAGAGAATCCCCCTGGGGATTCTCTATAAAACTAAGGTTTGGTATCACTATATTAGACCACATTGCTGCTTCTAAAAAGAACTGATCTTCTTATGAACGTTGGATGTAGGGCCTTTCACAGTTGGGATGTGGGAGGAAGAAAGGCCTACTTTCACTGACTCTGTTGTTTATCCAAGCAGGATCATAATATATCTACTGATGATCTCTTTTCAGAACTGGTGGAGTCTCTTTCATTGCAGGGATCTTATGCTGGAAAAATCAATTCTATTGGTGATGCTTTCAGGAATTTTAAAAATCTTCGATCCTTAGATTTATCAAGGAATTTGATCACTAGCCTAAAGGTAAGTTTTATATTCTATGACCAGTCAAGTCATCCCAATTTATTTATTTATGTATTTATTTAGGATGAGAAGAAATAAGAGATAATGTCAGCCTGGGGAATATAGGATCTTCCTTTTAAATGCTTCCCAACTAAATTTTATTATTTACTATAGAACTCTTTCAACTTTTCTTTATATTTAAAATTATTATAAAACATTGAGGGGGAATTTATTTTAGACTCAGGGAGAAATATATTAAGCTATCACTGCCTAGTGCAATAGTAAAAAATTTTATGGTACATAAGATAATTATGAGGAGCACTTGTAAAAGTACAGATTCTTTGTCTCTACCCTGAAAGTAGGTCTGATTTAGTAGATCTGGGGTGGACTCAGGACATATCCAGGGGACTCTGAAGATGGTGATACATAGAGCACACATGGAGAAACACTGGCCTATGTTGTTACTGTGGATTTTTTCTAGGAGGAGGAAATGTTAGTCTTAGAAAAAAAATTTTTCAGGTCGGAGGATGATGGGGCAGAGGGAAAGTAGAAAAGACCAGCCTTGAGCAGTGAGGATTAGCAAATACATGCAGAGTTAACTCTGCAAACTCACAGAGCTGGAAGTTCTGTTTCCAAATGGTTCTTCTTCCATATATTCCTATTTTGCCTCAGCTGTAAATCTGTCTTACAAAGCCCTTCTATGCAACACTGAACGTGACAAAGACTCACAGGTGCTATCCAGGATCAGTTAACAATCTCCTGGATTATTCCACCAATTTTGCATTTCTTAGGGGATACTTGTTCAGCAACACAGACCCAATCTCAGGGTTTAGCTAAAATCCCTAAAAGAGGAAGCCCAAGCAACATCAAATTTCTAATTAGGACTCTAAAAGCAGCCACTCCAAGTTGAACTAGGCCTTTAGACGTTTTTTAGCAGCCATTCATATCTGGCCTATCAGTTTCAGAAATTATTAGTTCCCAGTTACTTAGGCCTCTCTCTTTCTCTCTCTCTTTTTTTTTTTTTTTTTTTTTTGGCAGCTGGCAGTACAGGGATCGAACCCTGGACCTTGGTGTTATCAGCACCACACTCTAACCAACTGAGCTACCTGCCCAGCCCCAAGTCTCTTCTTTTCATATGTATATTTGCTTGTTCTTTTCAGATTAAAAATTAAGTAAACATTGCTATAATTTGTTTTTATACTCCCTTTCTTTCCACTTCTGTAAATTGGGTAAAAAACTGTTGTAAAGATTAATCAAATTAACACATAATCAAATATAACATATATAAGACTCCTGGTACAGTGCTTGGCATATAGGAAGCACTCAATAAATGTTAGTTTTCTACATTTTTTTGTGTCTATGATTTATCTGCATATATTCATCTCTAGCATCTCTGAATCACTTTGCTTAATTTCCCAGAGGGAAAATATTTTGTGACTATTTCTAGTATAACTCTGGGGAATACATGAATTTATGCCCACTGTGAAAACTGAGAGGAGCATAGAAATCATTTCCTTGATTTTTCATACTGAGAGACATTAAAGACACATTAAAGACAGTCCTAATGGGGTACTGCCCTGGGAGTGGGGCCAAACGCACTGACAACTATTCATAGCTACTGACCCTTTAATAATATAGAAGTTAATGGAATTGAAAAAAAAAAAAACAGAAAAGTGCATCAAAGTATAAACAGTGTTCTATTTGGGAATTTTTGTATATATCTTTGAGTTTTCTAAATTTTCTGCAGTGAGAAAATGGTAATTTTAAATGAAAGGTGAGTAAAAACATTTTACAAATACATGGTGGAAAATAATTTCACCTTTCTGAAATAAGCCTCAGTGATAAAGTTCCTTTTATGGCAAGCAGTTTTACTATTGAAAGTATATGATTATACATACATGTACATGTTCTGAAATATTGTCCAGAAATTTAGTGTTGGGCAAAAGCAGCTATCTAGTTAAATACATGAAAATTAAATAAATCTTTTCAATAGCGGGTTTCAGCAGAGGAGGAAAATTGTGGCTTTTCCTCTCAAATTTCCCAGTTCTGATTGAATGTCCAGTTAAGTAGAGAGGTGGGGTTGCTACATCCACAGAAAGAGAACTGAACAGAGAAGAACATCTCTACCAAGGAGAACTGACTGATTGGATGGGGAGTTTGCATGGTGGCAGAGACTCTGAAGAGGAAAACAAGGAGAAGACGGGTCCCAGAGTGGCCCAGGGGAGGACTTGGAGATAGCACTGTTTTGTTTCCCCAGAAAGTTCATTGATCCTATAAGCTCGTCATTGTGATGTGAAGACACACCACACATGCACACACACACACTTTTTTTTTTTTTAACATGTCCTTCTCCCCCAGAACCAGTTCTTTTGCCTACCTCCCTTCCTCTTATAAACTGAGGTACTTTTGGGGTCAGGAGAGTGGTTGGGGCAAGGGTGAGAGAAATCCTGAAGTGGCTTGGTCTGGCCATCACTGGGAAGGAAGGATTGGATTGGGAGAACGGTTGGGGAGAAACAGAAGTAGAGTATTGACTGCAGATACATGAATGTCAGATTTTGTAATGGAGAAAATGTATTATATATGTGAATTATTTAATATATAGAACATCCAGTGCCATGGGCTGCAGTGTTCTTATTCTCAGGCAACTAAATGGGAGTTCCAACCCTGTCTTTCTCATGGGAGACTCAGGTAACATGTTTATGGATGGAAAGTAATAGATATATTTCCACCTCTACTGTGAGATTCCTAATTCTTACCAATGTGCAGTTTCAAAATGCGGTCTTTTCCTTGCAGGGCATCCAGTATTTGTGTTCGCTCCAAGAACTGAATTTATATTATAACAACATTCCTTCATTAGTGGAGGTGTCCCGCCTACAGCCTTTACCCTTCCTCAAGGAACTAGATTTGAGACTCAATCCTGTTGTAAGGAAAGATACAGATTATAGGCTCTTTGCTGTGTACACACTACAAACTCTGGAGAAACTGGGTGAGACCCTCCTCCTCTGTTCCTTGCCCCAGAATGTTACTTTAAATCAGCTGCCTCTTAACCTTGTGGATGTTGGCCCAGCATGTGCACTGGCAGGATATGTTTGTTTATTAGTCAATATTTATGTAACTCTTTTGTGTTGGCAGGATGTATGACGAGTCCTTTTATTGTTTATTGAATGACATCTGTGATTTTATCAGTTACTTCCAGCTTTAGTTTTCTTCAGTTGATAGTTTCACCACCACTTCCTCCTCAACACAAAATTTCCACGCTGAGATTTATTTTTTTAGGTGCCCCAACTTTGTAACTGTATTAGCAATAGAAAACCAATACAACAATTTTCTTTGGAGATTAGTTGGCAAGAAAGAAGATACTCCTGCAAAAGAGGTGGTCTGTATTTCCTTATAATTTTGTTGTTGTTTATACATTTCTTATTGATATAAAATTGGATTTCACATGGACCTGGGAAAGCCATTACAGGAAAATTAAGTGAACTCTTTTAGAAAATGGTGTAATTTTCAGCCTCAACATGAGGCCATTGTGTTGTTTGTTGTCCGAGCTCTACTTTCCTGAAGGGGTAACTACACCTAGGTGGCAGTTGTTGCTATGGTATCCCTGTAGTCTCCCTGAGTTACTGCTTGCTCCAGTGACAACATAATAGCACTATTTTTTGACCTGTCTCTAACGCACAAAGATGAGACTGGTCTTTAGTTTTTCCTCTGTAAATATGGTTTTCTGACCCACTACTGGTTTCTCTAAAAAAGAAAAAAAGAAACATGCTCAGACCACGGTTTTTGCCTCCAGATGACCGAACTGTCCGTGAAAGTGAGAGAAAAGCTGCCAAGCTCCATTTTAGTCAGTTGGGCAACAGTGAAAATTTTCTTTTAGAGGTGGAAAAAAGGTAAGATTATTTACAAATAATGTTTAGTTTGGTTCTGGATGTAGGTCACAGTGAATTTCTGCTTAACTTTGTTTTTTAGCAGAAATCTTCCACAAGTTGTAAGAATCCTCAGGTTAGGAATAAAAGTATCCATTTAGCTGACTGGGACTTATCTGAGATGAGAATCTGTCGCTCAGTGGGTACATTTCTGATTTCTTGAACTGTTGGGTCTGCTTTGGGTATAACTGTAAATTCTCTAAAGTTGCTATACACAACTTATAGATAGGGATGCTATGAGATGTCTTGTCCTCATAAATGCTTACCTATCTTTTCTTGGTAGAGTTATCAATCAGTACCTGGTCTTTTCCTATTGAATTAGAAGAATTCCATGGGCAAGATAGATGATTTAGAGATAAATTTGTTGAAGAGAAGGGAAGTATTTCTCTACAAAACAAAAAGTAAACAGACCTTGAGGCTCTCAAGTATATGAATGGTATTTTTTTATTTCTTGTTATTAAAATCCTATCAAAAGAAGGTACCATATTTTGTATTCCCAAACCCAAGCTTTTTTAAAAAATTAGCTTTATTATTTTTGAAAAATAGTTAGAAGTCCATTACAATTTAAATAATACAGAAAAGTACACTGAAAAAAGTTAGTCATTCCATATCCTGCTATTGAGAGTTAACTGCTAGTGATATTTGATGTACATCCTTCCAGACATCTGTATACTATAGACATATGTAGATAGATCTACTAGTATTTTTTTCTGATGACAAAAGTAATATTGCACGCTTATTGTTGAGAATTCGGAAAGTACAGAAAAGAACACAAGGAATAAAGTAAGTAATTCATAATGCTACCACCCAGAAATAATTATATTATACTAATTATATTATGGTAAATATCCTTTTAGTCTTAGGTATGTGTGTGTGTGTATAATATTTATTTTACTGTAATTTGCTTCTTATCCATACCATTTTTAATTTAACAAGACATCATGAACATATCACTACAATAAGTCTTTTGCTTATTTGTTTACTTGTTCATTGCCTCCCCTTCACGCCCTCAGAATATAAACTCCATGAGAACAAGGACCTTGTCATTGGCCTTGTTTATTGCAGTATTCCTAGTGCCTAGAACAGTGCCTGCAACACAGAAGGTGCTAAGAAATAATTTGTTAAATGATGAACGAATGAAATCAATGCCTGTAAGCCTGAGATCCTTCTTTTTTCCAGTCACTTTGCTTATCTTTGCTCTGATCCATTATATGTTTTATTGTGTGGCCTTCAGAGAACATCCTTGCTTTCCTATTTTTTTAATTCCTTATTTTTTAAAATCCAGTTTACTGAGGTTAATTTACATAAAATAAAATTCACCCTGCTGTAGACAGAAATTGAATGTTTCTAAAAATTTATTTGTACATTTATTTTGTGAATTAATTCCTATTTTAAATGCATTGGGGTACCCTGTTTACTATAGAAATAAAGAAATAAATTAATGTATAGCTGAATAAACTTTCTAGTAAGGCAAATAACTAATTCCATCATTTATCTGTTTGGTTACCATGTAGAAATTGCAAAACCAGAGGTAAAATGTTACTCAAGTGTCCAGTACTAACATTAATATCTTACAAACTGTACAACCTTGGGTGAAGTTTTGGGTTTTGTTTTGTTTTGTTTTGTTTTTTTAAAGATGACCAGTAAGGGGATCTTAACCCTTGACTTGGTGTTGTCAGCACCACATTCTCCCAAGTGAGCAAACCGGCCATCCCTATATAGGGATCCGAACCCGTGGCCTTGGTGTTATCAGCACCACACTCTCCCAAGTGAGCCACGGGCTGGCCCTAAGATTTTTTTTTTTAAAGCCTCTCTGAAAAGGAAAAAAAAAAGCCTTTCTGAGTCCTGGTTCCCCCACCAAGAACGCGGAGATAATAGGTAACAGGAGGGTTTTATGATTTAAAGAAATGGGGAGAGTAAATAGCCTGGCACATAGTCTAGGCTTCTTGTACTTACTGTACTTCCCAAGGTACTTACCTCAATCAACTGCAAACACCTGCCTTTCTTGTCTGTTTTTCTAACTAATGGCTATAGTTATCCCCACTATAATTCTTGGCAGCAGAACTTTCCGTTCTGTATGCTGACTGTCACTGATTTAATTCAAAAGAAAATATCTTACTCCCTCAATCATTTAGACGTAAATTTGTATCAGAAAAACAGAGTAAGTTTTGAATTTTCTGGCTTTCACACTTTAAAGCCTGAACTATATAGTGTCTTTCTCTCTTATCATTCTTAGTTATGAATATTATGACTTAAAACTTATGGCTTTAACTGAAATATTTGTAAAACACAGTTAATATGTTATAGAGCATTTTTTAAAAATCTGATCACTATGAGCTAATGTTTTCTAAACAGCATTTACTGGTGATCTCAGAAGGCTTCTTCTGTGTTTTAAATAAGTTATTCTATGTGGCAGCTCTAGGGAGAAGACAATGAAAAATTGTGTGACAGACGAGAGCTCTGTATCAAAAGTCAGTGCTGATGTTGACACCAGGATTGAAATGGGTAAGTTTTCTTTCTGTGATCATAAAATGATTAAAACATCAGTTGTCTCATTTGTAATAGCCACTCTTGAGTAGGATAAAGATAAAATAGTTTAGAAAGAACAGATCTGAAGCAAGCACAAGATTCACTGGCTGCATGTTTCTTCCTTCCTCTCACTGCCAGAAGGAACTTGTTTAGCAGGCCTAACCCAGAATCCATCAAATCACAAGCTGTACTCAGAGAATTCAATTTCATTTACATCACTTTAAGTCATTAGAGCACCCTGAAAATTATATTGCTCATCCCCACTGACCCCTGGGCATTGCTAAAGTGATTGATTTCATTAGTCAAAGACTCAGGACTCATCGCATCCATGCAGCTCACACCCTGGGCTTCCTGGGCTCCCACACAAAGAACCTTTGCAGCTGCAGAATCTCTTGTGTTTGTGATATATTCCTGTAAGCAGTGTTGAGAATTCAATATGATTAAAGTGGTTAAGTCCCATTAATGGTCATGCCACAGACTGGAAGAAAGCTTTCCACCAGAGAAATTGCATCCATTTTACCTTGTGTGTTAGCCTGGGATGCTCATGTCAGATAAATCTGATGACCTTTAACTTGAGAAAACTTTCTTCTGCTGAAGGCCTCTATCCCTTTGAAGGATCTACTGAATTATAAACAAACTCTAAAAATCAGTTTCTAAAACCCCAGCAATAACTTTATTTTTATTTTATTTTATTTTCCTGTCTTCTTATCTATCCATATGGCTATGTATTGACAAGTCATTTTCACAGTATTTCGTGGTAGAATAAGCCATAGTAAGGTATGATTGTAACTTTCCTTTCTTGGAAATTGAACATAAGTGATGGGAGTATGAGTTGCTTTATTTCATCTTAAATAGCACTTTTTATATTTCAAAATTGATGCAATTTTATTGTAATAATTTTAGAAGTTACTTAACAGCATGTAGAACAACATTTTAATCACTTACAAGCTCATCCCCTAAAGAGAATCCCAGTTAATACTTTGGTATACAGCCTTCCTTGGTATACAGCCTAGTCCTTTTTTAGTTACAAGCATTTATATATCCATTTCTAGACAGAAAAAGATAAGATCAAAACATAATATGACTACCTCTTTTGTATGAGCTGAATTAGACTTCATTTATGTCGTTTTACATCGTTAGCATACACAAAGATTCACTCCATGAGTTAAAATGTTTTTTTTTTTTTTTGTCTTTTGTCTTTTTTCCGTGTCCGGCAACGGATCGCAACCCTCAGTGTTGCCCCCGTACCGGACCAGGGACCGGCAATGGGATTGCAACCCTCGGTGTTGCTCCCACGCCTCGCTCAGCCAGTGAGCGGGAACCGGTCTGTATGTGGGATCCGAACCCTCAGGCGGGAGCGCTGCCACGCTTCCCAAGCGGCGCACTATCCAGTGCGCCACCGGGCCGGCCCGAGTTAAAATGTTTTAAAGTGCAAAATCTCTACTGAGAACAAGCTGCTTTACTAGACAGAGGGCCTGTATCTAAAGATTCTTAGAAGCTCCAGCTGTTGCCTGGATTTTTTTTTTTAATATAAAATTTATTTCATTACTTTGAAATGTTAAAGAGTTTTGTTTTCCACTGAAAATTGTGTTTGTGCTGGATCCCTGGAGAGTGTTGCCAGTAAGCACTGTTGGTAATCCAATACGATAAAGTATTTATGTCATGTTAACAGTCATGCCACAGGCTAGGAGAAAACTTTCTGGAAAACAGCTCCCACTAGCTCAGTTGTTCAAAACAGCGCTTTCCTGCTGATCATTTTGAATGGGCAGGGAACCTTCACTATCTTAGATCCTCCTCCTATTCTCCTAAGCACATAATCTTTGACTCTTTCAAAGATTTCTCTCTCTGCGAGGGTTCGGATCCCACATACAGACCGGCCGCTCACTGGCTGAGCGAGGTGCGGGAGCAACACCGAGGGTTGCGATCCCGTAGCTGGTCCCGGTCCGGTGTGGGCGTGACACTGAGGGTTGCGATCCGTTGCCGGGCACGAAAAAAGACAAAAAAAAAAGGGAAAAAAAAAAAAAGATTTCTCTCTCTTCCCATACTCCCAGTGCAAGCATACCTAGGCTATGTTTTCAGGCTCTCCTATTCTTTTTCTACTCTTTGCCCTTATTAACCTCATCTATTTCCACAGTTTTATTTATAAATAAATAAGTTTATTCTTTATTTATACTTATTTTATATTTTTCCTTATATCTTAAATATGTTGGTCTAGCTTTCACAACCTGCATCCCCCATTTCTGCTGACCAGCTAGTAATATACACTTGGAATCACCACTGAATAACTTTCCAGCTCCTCAAGCTACACATTTTCCCAAAACTCCCCCAAAGCAAATAAACAAATGAATTGCTTTCCCCCAGCCCTAAACAGCTCCTAGGGTTTCATAAGTGTTATCACAACTTTCCCATTACCCTGGATCAGAATCATATTGGGGTTTGATGCTGCTGCTCCTCTAAAGCACAGCTGAATGTTCATACTCTGCAGTATGATCCATGATTGGTGAGCCCTCCTTTCCATTTTTTTAATAGTCTCTTAACAGGCATGCTTAGTAGCTATCATTTACTGAGTGTAAACTCCAGGCCAGGCACTGTCTGTTATCTCATTTAATCCTCATAACAATTTTGCAGGTGGTTTTACAGGTAAGGGAACTGAGACCCAAAGAAGTAAAATGACTTGCCCTAGTTATACAGTAGGTGACAGAGTTGGGATGCAAACTCTGGTCCATATATTGTTAGAGTCCTCGTAACCATTACATGATGCTGCATTCCAGTCTCTTCTTCCTTCAATTCATTTTCTACTTTCTGCCAGATTAATTCTCTCAAAACACAGCTGTGATCATTAATTATACTTCCCTGCTCAAAAACTTCCATGGCCCCCACTTACCTATTAAGTCTAAACTCTTTCATCTGGCATACAAGGCTCCCCTAAACTCTGTGCACAATTTATCTCTTCAGTCTAACCTGAAACCTTATCTCCTATTTCTCAACTACAATGTCTAATGCTCCAATCAAACCAGACCACTCCCTCCTCCCTAAATAGTCCTTCCTTTCTCCGTCCTTTGCCCCTAAACTAATGCTGTCCCTCTACTTGGAATGCTTTAAATCCTACCCTTTCTTTGTGACCCAGATCAAAGTCCATCAATTTTAGTGAAATTTTTTTGATTCCTCAACCTCAACCAAAGATTTTTTCTTTTATTGTAAACTTACATAACTTATCTTCTGGTACATGTGCTCTGGAAATAGAAGCAGCAAACATTCCCTGAAACACTACAGCAACATTAGAAAAAACTAGACAAACATGAAAGAGTTAAGTAACAACTCCAGGAAGTGTATATGAAAATGTCAAATGAATGATACGGATCAGTAGTCCTCAAACTCAGGGCTGTGGACCCCTAGTCCAGGGATACATTTCAGAGGCCCACAGGCAGTTTAAGACTCTTTAATTTTGTGTTTTTGTTTGATGGCAGTTACGAAAAATATTGAAAAGACATAAAGGCAAAAAAGCTTTTACAGTAATAATCTGCTTTAAAAAATAAAGACTTTATTTTTTAGAGCAGTTTTAGACTCACAGCAAAATTGAGCAGAAGGTACAGAGTCCCCATGTACCGCTGCCTCCACACATGCACAGCTTCCCTCACTATCAATATCCCACACCAGATTGGTACATCTGTTATGATCATCATTATCACCCGAAGTCCATAATTTACATTAGGGTTCACTTTTGGTGTTGTATATTTCTATGTATATTCACGTACATTTGATAAGTGTATGATGACATGTAGCCACCATTTTATTATCACGCAGAATAGTTTCACTGCCCTAAGAATTCTGTGCTCACCCGTTCATCTCTCTCTCTTCCCTAACCCCTGGAAAACACTAATCTTTTTACAGTCTCCATAGTTTTGCCTTTTCCAGAATGCCATACAGTTGGAATTATACAGCATGTAGACTTTTCAGATTGGCTTCTTTTACTTAGCAATATGCATTTATGTTTCCTTCATGTCTTTTCATGGCTTGATAGCTTATTTCTTCTTAGTGCTAAATAATATATCGTTGTCTGGATATACAACAGTTTGTTTATCCACTCACCTCCCTAAGGACATCTTAGTTGCTTCCAAATTTTGGCATTTATGAAAAAGCTGCTATAAATATCTGTGTGCAGGTCTTTGTGTGGACATAAATTTTCAACTCATTTAAGTAATTATCAAAGAACACAATTGCTGGATCATATGTAAGAGTATGTTAAGCTCTGTAAGGAGCTGCCAAATTGTCTTCCAATATAATCTTTTAAAAAATTCTTTTATTAAGAGTCTGGCCTGTGGCTCACTTGGGTGAGCGTGGTGCTGACAACACCAAGTCAAGGGTTAAGATCCTCTTACTGGTCATCTTTTTAAGAAAAAATAAAATACTTTTTTTTTTATGTACTGAGTTTAGTTTCTTAAATTGCAGTTTCCCAAACTGGGTTTGTATCTTCAGAGTTTAGTAGAACAGCTTGAGAAACTCTAATGTGGATGGTGAAATGCTGTAGAAGCTCAGAGTGTTCTAGGGGCAGTGGGGAAAGGTTTTGTGGCAGATGTGGAGACAAAGCCATCAGACCTTAGGCTGTAGAGCACTGGGATGGCCTGAAAAGGAGGAGCGACACATTTTGGTTGGTGAAATTTGTGTAAATAGCTGTGTGAAAGTGGTAATGAGCATGCAGGTCAGGAAGAAGCTAAGTGGTGCTGTGGTTTGGTTGGGAGGTTTGGGTTGGATAGAAGGTCAGATTAGGGAGAGCAGTGAATGCCTTACTAAAGATAATTTACATTTATCTTGTAGCTATATGTATATAGCACACGTAGACTCTGCGAGTTGAAAGGGAACTTGCTCACTCTTTTGGCCAATTATTTTTGCCTTTAAATAGATTCACACATGGGGCCGGCCCGTGGCTCACTCGGTAGAGTGCGGTGCTGATAACACCAAGGCCCCGGGTTCGGATCCCATATAGGGATGGCCAGTTCGCTCACTGGCTGAGCGTGGTGCTGACAACACCAAGTCAAGGGTTCAGATCCCCTTACCGGTCATCTTTTAAAAAAATAAAAAATAAAAATAATAAATAAATAGATTCACACATAAAGCATAGTGATCTAATTAATATCTTGTTTTAAAATAGCAAAGAAAAATTCACCACAGTTACCCTCAGTGGCTCATTCCCATGTCTAGCAGATACGTCAAGGCCTTTTTTATAACTCATTGAAATCCACCTCATTTCAACCTGTTGATCTATGTCTTCTCTCGTTTTAGTCATGATGGAGTTTTAGATGGATAAAGGTCAGCTTGGAATAGCAGGGACCTCTCAAAATAGTCACTTAAATAATATAGATATCTGGACAGTGCATCTTCATCTCAACTTCCTGTGGACTGAAGCATCTTTGGCCAAACGTGTGAAGCACAGCCTCATCCAGCTGTGATTACTCATAGTTGAAGTAACCAACTATTAGTTCTTTGTCCCTGTATCAGCATTATAAATTCATTCCTCTGTCATTACAGATATAAAACAATTTTCTTTTTTTTTTTTTTTTTTTTTTTTTTTTTTTTTTTTTCCGTGTCCGGCAACGGATCGCAACCCTCAGTGTTGCCCCCGTACCGGACCGGGGACCGGCAACGGGATCGCAAGCCTCGGTGCTGCTCCCGCGCCTCGCTCAGCCAGTGAGCTGGAGCCAGTCTGTATGTGGGATCCGAACCCTCGGACGGGAGCGCCGCCGCGCTTCCCAAGCGGCGCACTATCCAGTGCGCCACCGGGCCGGCCCTAAAACAATTTTCAACGATAAAAAGACATTAAATTATGGTCCCATCACATTGGTTGTGTGGGTATAAAAACTTGAGCTGGACAAGAATGTGATAATTACATTTGCTTTTGGAATTTAGGGCTAGGTGTATTTTATATCTGAAAAAAAAGAAGAAAATAAACAAATATAAGACAAGAAAAAATTTATCTCAGAATGAAAATTGCTTCTTTTTCTGGATTTTTCCTGATTGTGGTATATGACATATTTAGTCATAATGGTGGCAGGGCAAGGAATCAGTTTTTCTTTTTCAAGAGTGATCCTATATCTTGGACATGACACCAAAAACACAAGCAGCCAAAGAAATAAAAGATAAACTGGACTTCATAAAAATTAAAAACTTCTGTGCTTCACAGGGCACTATCAAGAAAGTAGAAAGACAATCTCAGAATAGGAGAAAATATTTGCAAATCGTTTATATGACAAAGGTCCATTATCCATTTATATAAAGAACTCTTACAACTCAATAACAAAAAGACAAACAACTCAATTAAAATGTGGGCAAAGGATTTGAATAGACATTTCTCCAAAGAAGATAAGAAAATGGCCAACAAGCACATCAAACATGTTCAACATCACTAGCCCTCAGGGAGATGCAAATGAAAGCCTCGGTGAGATACCACTTCACACCCACTAGGATGACTAGAATAAAAGACAAGTAATAAGTGATGGCAAGGATGTGGATAAATTGGAGCCCTCATATATTGCTGATGAGAAAGTTAAATTGTACGGCTGCTCTGGAAAAACAGTTTGGCAGTTCCTCAAACATTTAAATAAGAGTTACCATTTTACCCAGCAATTCCTCTCCTAGGTATGTACCCAAGAGAAATGGAAACCTGCATTCACACAAAAACTTGTACAGGAATGAAGCAACGTTATCCATGATAGTCATAATAGCCAAAAAGTCTATTGACTAATGAATGGATAAACAAAATATGGTATATTCATGTAAGGAATATTATTCAGTTATAAAAAGGAATGGAGTGTTGATACATGCTACAACATGTATCTTCAAAACACCATGGTAAGTGAAAGAAGCCAGACAGAAAAGGCCATTTATTGCATGATTTCATTTATATGAAATATCCAGAATAGGCAAGTCCACAGAGGCAGAAACTATATCCGTGGTTGCCAGGGAATGGCAGGGAGGTGGAGAATTGAGAGTGACAGCTGTGGGGTTTCTTTTTGGGGTGATGAAATGTTCTGGAATTAGATAGTGATGATGGCTGGACAACTTTGTGAAATACACTAAGAATCACTGAACTGTTCACTGTAAAAGGGTGAACTGTATGATATGTGAATTTTATCTCAATTAAAATAAAGCTCCCCCCTCCCACCAAAAAAATAGTGATTCTATAGAACTTGGTAATTGATTGAGATTTCAGATGAGTGAGTCAAAGAACAGGTTTCTATCTTTAGTGACTGGGTAAATAATGTCAATATCAAGATTAGAAGAGGCACCAGCGGAAGGATGCCTGGAACTGAAGATAATGTTTGGTTTATAAAATACTAACTTTTTAATTGTCTGTGGGACATTCTTTGGGGCTGTTAGGAAAATTTAGGTCTGGACATCAAAAAGAGAGATCAGAGTTAAGAGATTTAAATTTAAGGACATCCAGATTTTGGTGACAGCTGAAACCCAGAAGGTGTAATAGCACTCAGCAAAGAGTTCAGGCTGTGGGGGATTTGCTTAAACCAAGAAGTAACTAGAAAGAAAAAGAACCTGTGAATCTGGAAAAGAGTGCTTCCAGATTCCAGATTTCTCCTGTAGGTGCTATAAGAGAAAAAGCAGGAGGTAGCAGGGTCTTGGACACTTGCAAAGTCTTCTGCAGGAGAAGGGTAAGAGGAGACCTTAACGCAAAGTCACAGCTTACTAACAAAGGTTCTATGAAGAATCAAGTTGCAACCAGCAATTTCTCCTTCACCTTGTTTTTTCTGTAGTACTACTGCAGTGGGAACCAGAGAACTACTGCAGTGGGAACCAGAGCATATATCACTTTGAGAAAAGTAGTTCTATCAAGTCCAATGGTAGAAGAGCATCTTGTTTAAGTTGGACATTTTAGTCCCAGAAAGCAACTCAGAAGTGGGAAGCTTCTTAGAGCCCCAAATGGGCTGGTTCTCAAGAGGCTGGCTTTATTCACTCTGTGTTCTCAGTTGCACTGGCTTGTAGTAGCTTCCTGTTGCCAGAACCAGTAGATGAAAACAACTACAAGAGCACATTGTTTGATGAAGGTCCAAGTTTTTGAAACTGTCTTAATTCTTACACAATCCTGCTAGAAACAAAACAATCCCCAAACAAAAGTAAAACTCTTATTTTCATCCAAGAGCCCCAGAAGACCCCAAATCCCAGAATTCTACAATTAATAAGTATATGGATCGAGAATGTACAAAAACTTGTGTACAAGAGTGACAATCTAATAGAAATCCTAACTGTTCTTGATAACAGTTTTTTTATTTTTGAAGTTGTTTCTCAAAAATCATAGGCAAAAAATACTGGGAGACCTAAGAACTTAGCATTCTTCTCTATGAAATTGGTTCTGATTAGTTTTTCTTTTTTACAAATAAAGAAATCAGGGCAGAAAGAGGCTGATTTGCAATGGTGAATGTGCAGACTGCTGATTAGTACCCAGGACATGTGTAATGCCAAGAGTCTATTCCCAGCATCTCCCCCTATAGCTGAAGATCGTTGATTTTGGTGTCAAAATTCATTATTTATTCACTTAGGAAATGTACAAAATATTTGCCTTCCTCTCAATTTCTTTTGAATACTTCACAGTTTATGAAGCCTTTTCATATCCATTATCTTGTTTTAGCCTCACCTAAATCCTAAGAGGCAGTTTAGGTTTATCATTACTCTTTTACAAACGAAGTGAGAGATTTAGAGAGGTTAAGTGATTTGCCTAAGTTCACATGATTTCCAAGTGGTGGCACCAGAACTAGCTCTCAATCTTGTGACTTCTTCTCTAGTATCTTTCCATAAGACATGCTGCCTTTGAAGTCTGGTCATTGATTCCTTGTATGCCTTTCTTCTTTTAACACAGAGTCAAACAAAGGACTTTTTATTCCCTTCCCCAACCGAGAAATAAAGGATTCCCTAATGAGTACTTCTGCAACACAGGACAGTTGTACACCAGGTCAGAAATTAGACACTTTCCCACTGGGGACTCAGGTAATGTATTAATTCTCCTGCTGATCTGTTGACTAGCCAATGATTAATACTAATAATTCAGTGGACTCTCAATTATTTATGAAAGTCTAAGAGGATTTGTTTGATGAAGCCTTTTTAGACCCTCTGAAAGGAAAGGGCAGGACTGGATGCAGAGTACCTTCTCCATTAATTTCAATCTCCCCTTCCCCTCTTCCCATCTAACCTGTTATCAAATGCCATATATTTATACATATAACTTTAGCATATTTTATGCCAGGTATTTTGGTCCCCAAACAGGAATGCAACTGTTATAGTTTTGGGTTGGTTTTCAAATTTCTGCTCTCTACCTAGTGTCTCCATCTCCTGTTGCCTTGCTGCTCACATTTTCTACCTCTACCTTGTAACTACTGAATCTTACATTTCAGGGCTGGCTTTCCCAAAGCTTCCTCTTCAATGTAACAGAAAAAAAGAAAAGCTAAGGGGTAAAATTATTGCATAAATGTTACGGGCAATGGAAAGGTAGAGATCATGCAAGATGAGGGAGAACTTAATATAAGTTTTTAGTGAAAAAATTGGTGGGAAAAAGGATGCAACCATTGTATAAGACTTATTTGTGTGAATGAATATGATACCAGGAGCAGAACTGACTACTTTATAGTCAGCTTCTCCCTTTGTCCTCCTTTTCTTTTGATAAATTAATGAGCAATGAAATTGTAGAAAATAGCCAGGAGAAAGAAAAAGAAGCAAAGGCTCTGATTATTCACAATTTGAATCATCAAGATTGTACTAGCAAAAAGTTAGTAGAATTTTTTTTCTGTTTGAGTATATAATACCTTCATCTTTTAAAAAGACATTAACATTTAGTTGGTTCCTTTGTTTTTGGAGATTGTACTTGGGTGACTTAGAAACTATCTCAGTTGCCATTTTTAAAAATCTTAGTATTGATTTAAGGAAATGAAGACAAAGGATACTCTAACTTACAGTTAAAGTTAAATAGCACTTGTCAGATAAAAAAGAAACAAAATACTTATCTGAAGTTACTTCTTGAATTGAAAGAAAAAGGAAAATTGAATAGCTTGCTTTATATCTTTTTAGATTAAGAAATAGAGACTTAAATGACTACCAAAAAGATTCTAAATACTTTAAGATAATTTAAAAAAAGGAAACCCTAGATGGCCTTCCATTTTGCTTCACTCCTGCCTAGTTATGCCTCAGACTAATTTTCAGCCTATTAAAACTCCCGTTAACCCCTGTGGGAGTTAAACAGCTTTACGGGAAGGTAAAATAAGTATGGGAGTCCTTAAAACAGGAAAAAATAAAGTTGGAAAAGGTGACCTCATCTAATTTCTATGCTGAGCTATCTAAAGCAGAGAAAATACAGTATTTCACTGTTTGATATGTCCTTTACCTTCTAGGGATATTTTATATTTTCAGAGAGTCTCCTTACCTGCTCCAAAGCAACTCTGGAATTTCCTTGTTTTGTGACTATTTAAGACTTAAACCTGGACCTTTTGCTTGAAGGTCTGTCTCCCTAGCTTGCGAGGATGGCCTTCCTTGCTACTAGGAAAATATTCTGGACCCCCGGTCTAGTAATCTCATGTCTGAATGCCTATGAATGCCCTTCTACCTAAACTTTCAAACTTTTTTTAGATGCAGGAAATGACAAGGGAGATACCAAGTGACAATCACCAGGAAGATGGTAAATATTTTGCTCACTGAAAATATTTCCCCACACTATCACAGAAATCTGGATGTGATGAAATTTTGAAGAAGATGAAGACATTCCATTCCTGGGGCCCTGTTTGGTCAATTGACTCTTTTCTGCTTTCATGAAGGGATGTCTTCGATGCTTTGTGACCTGTGAGACTTCCTGCTTGAAGAGTGGATATTCTGACCTCCTTTGTCCTTTTTTACATTGGCTGTCTATTCTGTGTTTCTTTTTCTTACTCTTCTTTCCTTCTTTTCATTTGTTATTTGCATATGAACATTTGCGTTTGTTCATTTTCCCCCTCTACCAGTTTGTAAGGTGTATACACTTTCTATACTTTTATTTTTTCATAATTCTGTAGGATACAACTTTGAGTATCAATACCTGTGTGCAATATATGATGCTCAAATCAGGATAATTAGTATATTCAGAATTAAACAATGTAATCATTTTTTGTGGCTCTTTACCAATTTCTCACTAACCCCTCCCCCTTTCCCACGTCTGGTGGCCTCAGTTCCATTCTCTCCTTTTGAAAGTTCAACGAATTATTGTGATTGCTGTATCTTTCTTTTTTTCTTTTTTTTATTTGTTTATTTTTTTAGGTCCCACCTATGAGTGAGGACATGCAGTATTTCCTTTTCTGTGCCTGGCTTATTAATTAACGTAATTTTCTCTAAGTTCATCCATATTGTTGCAAATGGCAGAATTTCATTCTTTTTTTATGTCAGAGTAGTATTCCATTGTGTATGTATACCACATTTTCCTTATCCAGTCATCCATCGATAGACATTTAGGTTAGTTCCAACTCTTGGCTATTGTAAGTAGAGCTACAATAAACATGGGAGCACAAGTACCACTTTGACATGATGATTTCCATTCCTTTGGTATATACCGCAGTGGGATTGCTGGATCATATGACAGTTCTGTCTGTAGTTGTTTGAGCCTCCATATTGTTTTCCATAATGGCTGCACCAATTTACAGTCCAACTAACAGTGTAGGAGGGTTCCCCTTTCTCCCCATCTTCACCAGCATTTGTTATTCTCTGTCTTTTTGATAAGGGCCAGTCTCACTGGGATGAGATGAGATCTCAAAGTGGTTTTGATTTGCATTTCCCTGATGCTTAGTGATGTTGGCTGTTTATGTATCTTCCTTTGAGAAATACCTATTTAGCTCCTTTGCCCATTTTTTAATCAGATTACTTATTTTTTACTGTTAAGTTGTTTGAGTTCCTTGTGTATTCTGAATATTAATCCCTTGTTGGGTGTATAGTTTGCAAATATTTTCTCCTATTCTGTGGGTTGTCTTTTTGCTCTGTTAATTCTTTCTTTGCTGTGCATATAATCCCATTTGTTTATTTTTTCTTTTGTTGCCTGTGCTTTTTGGGTCTTATTCATAACACCTTTGCCCAGTCTTACTTCCTAAAGTGTTCTCCTATGTTTTCTTTTAGGAATTTTATAGTTTCAGGTCTTACATTTGAGTTTTTAATACTTTTAATCCATTGAGTTGATTTTGGTATATGGTGAGAGGTACAGGTCTAGTTTCATTCTTCTACATGTGAATGTCCAGTTTTCCCAGCACCATTTGTTGAAGAGGCAGTCTTTTCCCCATATGTTCTGTTCCATTGGTCTGAGTGTCTATTTCTATGCCAGCACCATGTTGTTGTGTTCACTACAGCTTTGTAGTATAATCTGAAGTCAGGTAGTGCTATGCCTCTGGCCTTACTTTTTTTGTTCAGGATTGCTTTGGCTATTCTGGGTCTTTTCTTTTTCTTATTTTTTTTTCTTTTTTTTTTTTAAAAAAAAAAAGATGACCGGTAAGGGGATCTTAACCCTTGACTTGGTGTTGTCAGCACCACGCTCACCCGATGAGCTAACCGGCCATCCCTATATGGGATCTGAACCCGGGGCCTTGGTGCTATCAGCACCGCACTCTCCCGACTGAGCCACGGGCCGGCCCTGTTTTTTCTATTTCTGTGAGGAATGTCATTGGTAGCTTGAGGGGGGTTACATTGAATCTATAGATTGCTTTAGGTAGTATGGACATTTTCACAATGTTAATTCTTCTAATCCAAGAACACGGAATGTCTTTCCATCTTTTTGTGTCCTGTTTAATTTCTTTCATCAGTGATTTGTAGTTCTTGTAGGGATCTTTCACCTCCTTGGTTAAATTGATACCTAGGTTTTTGGGGGGGGTTTTTTGTTTTGTTTTGTTTTGTTTTGTTTTGTTTTTGGTGACTTGTAAATGGGCTTGCTTTGCTAGTTCATTATTGGAGTATAAAAATGCTACTGATTTTTGCATGTTGATTTTGTATCCCGTAATCATTTACTGAAATCATTTATCAGCTCTAACAGTTTTTTGGTACAGTCTTTATATTTTTCTATGTATAGGATCATATCATCTGCAAACAGGGAGAGTTTGACTTTGTCTTTTCCAGTCTGAATGCCTTTTATTTCTTTCTCTTGCCTAATTGCTCTGGCTAGTGCTTCAATAACATGTTAAACAGGAGTGGTGAGAAAAGGCATACTTGTCTTGTCAAGATGATGTTGGTGGTGGGTTTGTCATACATGGCTTTCATTGTGTTTTTTTTAAAAGATGACCAGTAAGGGGATCTCAACCCTTGGCTTGGTGTTGTCAGCACCACGCTCACCCAGTGAGCAAACCGGCCATCCCTATATAGGATCCGAACCCGTGGCCTTGGTGTTATCAGCACTGCACTCTACCAAGTGAGCCACGGGCCGGCCCGAGATACTTTCCTTCTATACCTAATTTGCTGAGAGTCTTTTATCATGAAGGGATGTTGAATTTTTCAGATGCCTTTTCTGTGTCTGTCGAGATAATCATATGATTTTTGTCTTTGATTTTTTTAATGTGGTATATCACATTTATTGATTTGCATATGTTTAACCATCCTTACATCCCTGGGATGAATCTCACTTGATCATAGTGTATAATTTTTTTGATGTGTTGCTGTATTCTGAGATGTTGGCCCACAATTTTCTTTTTTCTTGTTGTATCTTTGTCTGGTTTTGGTATCAGGTGATGCTGGCCTCATAGAGTGAGTCTGGGAGAATGACCTCTGTTTCAATTTTTTGGAATAGTTTGAAGAGAATTGGTATTAATTCCTCTTTAAAGGTTTGGTAGAATTCAGCAGTAAAGCCTTCCAGTCCTGGGCTTTTCTTTGTTGGGAGACTCTTGATTACTGTTTCAGTCTCATTACTTATTATCAATCTGTCCAGATTTTCTATTTCTTCTTGTTTCAGTCTTGGTAGTTTGCATATGCCCAGAAATTTATCCATTTCCTCCAGGTTTGCAAATTTGTTGGCATGTGATTGTTTATAATAGTCTCTAATGATTCTTTGTATTTTTGTGGTATCGGTTGTAATGTCTCCTTTTTCATTTCTGATTTTTGTTATCTGGTTCTTCTCTCTTCTTTTCTTAGTTAGCTTAGCTAATAGTTTGTCTTCTTGCTTATTTTCTCAAAAAAACCAACTTCTTGTTTCATTGATCTTCTGTATAATTTTTTGGGTCTCTGTTTCATTTAGTTCTGCTCTTACCTTAATTATTTCTTTCTGTTTGCTAATTTTGATATTGGATTGTTCTTGTTTTTCCAATTCTTTGAGGTGTAGTGTTAGGTCGTTTATTTGAAATCTTTCTATTCTCTTGATGTAAGCATTTGTTGCAATAAATTTCCTCTTAGTACTACTTTTGCAGTATCCCACAGGACTTGGTATGATGTGTCTTTATTTTCACTAGTTTCAAGAAATTTTTTTATTTCCTGTTTAATTTCTTCTTAGACCCATAGGTCATTCAGGAGCATGTTGTTTAGTTTCCATGTATTTGTATAGTTTCCAGAGTTTCTCTTATTATTGATTTCTAGTTTTAATCCATCATGGCCTGAAAAGATACTTGAAATGATTTCAGTTTTTAAAAATTTCTTGAGACTTGATTTGTGACCTAACATGTGGTCTGTCCTTGAGAATGTTTCCTGTGCTGATAAGAAGAATATATATTCTGTAGTTGTTGGATGAAACGTTCCATAGATATCTGCCAGGTTCGAATGGTCTAAAATGTAGTATAAATCCTGTGTTTCTCTGTTTATTTGTTGCCTTGATGATCTGTCCAGGGCTGAGAGAGGGGTGTTCAGCTCCTCAACTATTATTGTATTGGAGTCTATTTCTTTTTTTAGTCTAATAATGTTTGTGTTATATATCTGTGTGCTCCAGTTTGGGGTACATATATATTTATGATTATTATGTCTTCTTGCTAGATAGATCCCTTTATCATTATATAGTGTCCTTCTTTGTCTCTTTTTATGGTTTTTGATTTAAAGTCTTTTTTATCTGATATAAGAACAGCTACTCCTGCTTATTTTTGGTTTCCATTTGCATGATATATCTTTTTCCATTCCTTCACTTGTAGTCTGTGGGTGTCTTTACAGGTTAAGTGAGTGTCTTGAAGATAGCATATAGTTTGGTCTAGCTTTTTAATCCAATCCAATTTAATCAAAAGTCCATGTCTTTTGAATGGGTAGTTTAATCCATTTATATTTAGGGTTGCTATTGTCTTACTCTTGGCATTTTATCAATTTTCCTTTGGATTTTTAAAATATCTTTTGTTCCTTTCTTCCCCTTTTATTTGTTTGTCTCTGATGTTTGTTGGTTTTTTGAAGTGGTAAAATTTAGTTTCTTTCTCTTTCTCATTTGCATTTTTGTTCTACCAGTGGGTCTTGTTCTTTCTTACGTACTCATGGTAGTGATTATATTTTTTCAGATTCCAGATGCAGGATTCCCTTGAGGATTTCTTGCAGGGATGGATAGCTGGTGGTGAACTCCCACAGTTTTTGTTTGGGAAATACACTATTTCTCCCTCATTTCTGAGGGATAGCCTTGCTGGGTATAGTATTCTTGGCTGGCAGGGTTTTTTTCTTTTAGTACTTTGAATGTATCATCCCATTTTCTTTTGGCCTGTAGAGTTTCTGTTGAGAATTCTGCTGTTAGTCTGATGGGGAATCCCTTACAGGTGACTTGATGCTTTTCTCTTGCTGTTTTTAAGATTCTCTCTTTGTCTTTGAGTTTTACCACTTTGACTATAAAGTGTCTCAAAGAGGATCTTTTTAGGTTAAATCTGTTTGGGGATCTTTGATCCTCCTGGATCTGAAGGTCCGTGTCTCTCCCTCTACCTGGGAAGTTTTCCATTATTTCATCAAATAGGTTTTCAATGTCTTTTCCTTTCTCCTCTTCTTCTGGAACACCCATGATTTGCTTGTTTGTGCACTTAAGGTTGTCTGCTAGCTCTCTCTAATTTTCTTCATTTTTAAAATTCTTTTCTTTCTTTTTTTTTTTTCTTGTTTGCCTGGTTTACTTCAAAAAGACTGTCTTCATGATCATAAATTCTTTCTTCTGCTTGCTCTAACCTGCTGCTTAAGCTCTTGGCTGTGGTTTTTTGTTGTTGTTGTTGTTAAATGAATCCTTCAGTTCCAGGAGTTCTACTACATTCTTTTTTTTTTTTTTTTTTTTTTTTTTTTTTTTTTTTTCCGTG